GAGTAGGAGATGCCTGGGCATTTCCATCCCCTTCTAGCTGTCCATAACTAACACTAATGAACAGGCACCACGATTTTTATACTCCAGCACCCTTGCTCCTGATCAATCAGAAAACTCAACTCTGAAGTGCTGTATACACGAAAGGCCAAAGCTAGTGCACCTTACACTCCTGTCTCCTCCCTTCCTAGTCCTGCTCATCCCTCTAGGAATGTTGGCAGAGAGCATGCTGAAATAAATCCTCATAAGTCTTTGACTAAGATTTGGCTTCTGGGAAAGCCAACATAAGCCATGTGTTGTTTTAGCCAAGGAAAAGATAGCCCTAGACAAAATCCCAGCCAAGAATATGGGGTGCTCCTGAAGCTCTTTAGTCATTGCATTAGTCTCTGGACCAGTTATTGGACCCAGGTCAGACCTTAAAAGTATACAAAAGGCTACATCAAGCCACTAGAGTCTAGTAACTTTGTATGTGGGAATTGAGACACTCACATGCTAAGAATGTGATGCAAACAATCTATACTTCTCTTTCCAGATGAGCTCTCTCTAGCTATGTGGTGAAGATGTTAATGATGTTGTCCTTCAGCTGGCTTTATGAAGACCCATAGAAAAACCTAGGAATCCATAGAACTTGTGGGAACCAATGTGACTATTGAATACTTGAAACATGACTAGTGGAAATTGAGATAGTCTGGAAAACATAAAATTTGCATTTCATTTCAAAGGCTTAACATATAAACATATCTTACTAATAATATTTTAATTCACTGTTTTATTTATACAGGTTGTATATTTTTCATCCAAAATTCTTAGAACTATAAGTGTTGATTCTAGATTTTTTTCCAATTTTGGAATATTTGCATATACATAATAAGAAATGTTGGGGGCGGATCCCAAGCAGAAATATAAAATTTACCATTTTACATACATAGCCTGAAGGTAATTTTATTCAGCATTTTTAGTCCACCTAAATTTTGACTGCAATTTGTCACAAAAGACCAGGTGAAATGTCCACTGTGGTGTCACAGAGGTACTCAAAAAGATTAAAATTTTGGAGCATTCTGAATTTTGGATTTTCAGGATAGGAATGACATAATGAAATAATATTTGTGCAGAGCTGGGGAGATAGCTCAGTAGAATAAGTGCTTGGCTGGCAAATGCAAGGGCCTGAGTTCAATCCCTGGTTACACACACACACACACACACACACACACACACACACAATATTAATAATAATAATTTTTTCTGAAAGATGGAAAGAAATAAAATACCGTTGTAAGAGTATTTTATTTCACATATTTCTTCTCATTTTTTAAAATATTGCAACTAGCTGGGGAGATGGCTCAGTGGAATAAACGCGTCTCTGCCAAGTGCAAGGGCCTGAGTTCAATCCCTGGTTCCGCAAGAAAAAAAAAAAATATTGCAACTAGAAAATTCTATGTTACATATGTGTCTCACATTAGACATTTCTGTTGGACTGGATGCATTGACAGTCTTACCAGCTGTTTGTCATTCCTTTACTATACTTATTTCTGGTGGTGAATTGGCTGCCAGTAAGCATACAAAAATGTATACTGACCTCAGTTATAAATCCTTATGTGATGCACAAAGTCACCACAGAGTTGGAAATGTCCAAAATTTGGTCTTCATCCCCCCAAATATTATATCAGAAACATTTTTAAACTAATGTCAATAGTTTCTACTCTGTTCAAAATTGTCTAATTTGAGGAAAATTAATTTTAAAGCTATAAAAAAGATATTCTGATGTTTTCTCCTATGTACATCCAGTTTGGTAGCCAGTCATTTTATTTTTTCCCCATAGCCATCCTATGTTGTCTTTTCTGAATTGTCTGGCAACAGTATATAGCATGAAAAGCCTCAGAATTTCTTACCTACACTATTTTACTTATTTATTTATTTATTTGGCAGAACTGGGGATTGAATTCAGGCCCTTGCACTTGCCAGGCAATCACCTACACTATTGCAAGCCAAGAGTTGTTTTTTCTCTTTTGCTTCTTAGCCTCAAATTAATCCCTGACATAGCTTTCAGTTGATCTTCTGTATTTGGTCAGTTTTTCAGTTGCTGGACAGAAACCTGACTCCAGCAACTCATAGAAAAGTTGTAACTCGGCTCATGGTTTCAGTGAAGTCAGTCCATGTCTGTGGCTCCAAGGCAGAAGCACCATAGGGGAAGGGAGCCCCATGGGGGAGGATCAGTGCTTAGTGTGTGGTGGTTGAGATGCAAAGCAGAACAAAGAGTGCCAGAGAAGAAAAGGAAAGGGACCAATTATACAGCCCAAGATCACACCTCTGTGATCCCCCCAGACACACCCAGAGGTGTACCACACTAAAGTACTAAGTGTCCTCTGCTAGGTGTTTCCGCATCTAGCCAAGAAAATACATTGTGGTTAAGGGCCACATCTGTGCAGCTTACAGCATAGCCTTGACTCTCCTCGCCTGCTGTCTTTCTTTCTTTTTAAAGCCTTTAGTCATATTACATGTTTTACTCAATTATCTGTAGACAACTTAAGTAGCTGCTAAATGCCCTTCATACTCTGACTTCAACTCTACTTTTTTATTGCAACTTGTCCTCTCTTCTACCCTCTTTTGGATCAATTCATCTTGTGATTTCTAATATTTTTGGTCACCTCTGGTTCTTTTTGCAATTTTTACTGCTAAAAACTTCCTTCCTTTCCCATTACTGTAAGCCACCTTTTCCTTCAATTTCATCAAAAATATTACCAATTTACATGACAGGATACTATCAGTGGCTTAAATCTGGAAATAAAATGCAAATGAACAACAATAAGAACAGCATGCCATAAGGCCAACAAATCAGTAGTAAAAATAACAAGGCTAGGTTGCACATCCAGTGCATAAGAAGACATTATTTCTTAAGAAATACAAAGAAATAATGCAAGATTGGTGGGAAAAGAACTATTAAGCAATAAAAAAATTGACAAAATGCCAGTCAGTCAGCAACCCTTCCCTATCCATAACTAAATGTAAATAGGTTAAATTCCCCAGTCAATTTGTATCAAAGAAAGAGATTAACTAAACTCACTTAAAAAAGAAAAAAACCAACAAGAGACTTATTTTAACCTTGGGAACATATACAAACTGAGAACAAAAGGATAGACAAACTCGTCCAGGCAGTGGCTGACCAAAGGAGAACAAGACTGGCTATGTGTGTATCACATAAAAGAAACTTAGAGTAAAAAATCAAAGAAAGAAAAATAAGATCACTATATTATAAAAGGGTTTATCTTATTTCAAAATAAAGAAGATAGTTTTAAATATTTATAGATCCAGTATTATAGATAATAACTATAAAAAGCATTACTAAATTTTAAAACTAGATAAGAGTACAATGCCGTAGTGTTGTGACATTTCAAGATATTGCTTATTAGAAGAGAACCAAATCCACTGCAACACTAGCCAACCGTTAACCAACTATCATGTCATTTTTACTGATGGAAAAATATTTTCGCCCAGATAATTTACTATGTGTTTTAAATTATCACCAAAAAATGACTATTCAATCATCTCTTGGGAGAAATGTACCTTTTCATTTTCCTTTTGTTCAAATGAGAGCACTACTGAGTGGTAAAAATTATGGAGTAAGATGAGGAAAGTACAGAGGACTTGATTTGGAAAGAGTAACACACACACGAAGACAGATTGCAAGTGGCTTAGAGAATCTCTAGAACTGTAGCTAACGTGTGAAGACCCCTATTATAGCTGCTTTTGCCTATGTAGCAAAAGAGGAACAGTATATTTGCATTTTAAAATACATTTATCATATTTAAACTTTTAAATTATTCTTTATATGTTTATATTTCGAGGAAAATAATAAAAATGCATTCAGTTCTTGCAAACAGCATAGCAGTTTTCTATCACTAGGGGGGATTTAAAAAACCAAAAAACTGTTTATATGTAAAGAACATTTTTGTAGGAAAAGCGTATTCACTCAGGGATTTCAGAGATTTTAATTTATTGTGCTATTTTTGAAAAAAGAAAAGAGAAAACCGACGAGGGGGCTTTGTATCTAGATTGAACTGAGTCTCTCTGGAAGGCAAACTAACAGTATGCCTTAGGACCGTACAGTATTCACGCTAATGCAAGTGTGATTTGCATTTTTCAGGAATGGACAAAAGAGGTTTTCAGTTTGGCAACAAACCTCTTGGCCCAGAACATGTCCAGAGACGCCTTTCTGGAAAAAGCGTAAGTTGCTATAATTGCATTGCTAAGGGTGTTGTTTCTTGTGAGTCAGTTTCCTTTCCCCTTTGTGAGTCTTTTGTTCGTGCGGCGCTGGCTTCTCACATTGATAAACATAAATTTCCCTGTGGGATTTGTTAGAGAACTGATAGCTCCACTGTTGGGAATTGGAAGACTTCCAAGAAAGATCGCTCTTTCCTCCAAGCCGCATATCCCTATCGTGCTTGGGCTGAGTCCTCTTGAGTGTCAGGGCCTCGGACACACAATAAGGAGACACTTGCGTATCTTCGCGGCTGTGCGCAGAACTAGGGATTACGAATTTCAGCGAGTTCTCAGTTTCTGCATCTACCTAGGTCTTCTCAGTTGTTAATCTAAAAACGGGAATGAACAGCGCACGCTCCTCCTCATTTCTCGAGAGACGGAGATCACTTATAGATGATACAGTAAAGTCTCTGGCTTCCTCACTCGGTAGGCTGATGTCCTGATTTCAGCACTTGTCCATGATCACAGCAAGTATTAGTTAGAAAAGACAAAGAGAAAGGATGTAGAGGAAAGGGCAGACAGAAAAAGGGAGCGGAGTGAAAAGCAAAACAGATTAGCAAATCACCCTGGAATGGCAGCAGCCTTACTAATAATTATCTGACCAAGAGAAATAACACTGCGTGCCAGATGAGCAGCGCAGAAGGCTGGCTGTGCTCATTTTGGAAGCTGTGGTCATGCAGGAGGTTGGGCAGCCTTTAAGTCAAAACCACAAGCAGCAACACTAATCAGTAGTCCTCTGTTTTACTGAATAGCTTTCTCTCTTCCCTCTGTAGTAGTGCAAGACCTACCCAGCGTTTGCTCCTCGCCCTTCAACCACAGGTCTCTTGTGCACTTCTATGAATTCCTTTTACTTTTAGTCAGTACTCACAGGTCTTTATTTAAACGTCTTTTGGTGGAATTATCCCCTCTCCTGAGTTTGCTAAAGATCCTTTCTAGCAGCCTCCACCTTCTCCCTTCCTTTCTTCCAAGGTGTTCTTGCCCTGTCTTTGGTCATATTTAGCCTTCATGCCAAATCTCCAGATCTCCTGTTCTTCAGGGCAGTGTTAGTCGAAAGACACAGATACATTGGATGTGGCACCTGAAATACAGATGCTGGCTGAATACCTATTACCTATTGCAAATGTCTGCCACAAGGGTGTCTCCCTCTGACGGCTGCTGTGGACATTCTAGATCTTGTCTTTGGTGGAAATATTGCCAATATCAGTTCGCACGCACATTTAGCTATGGTCTTGGGTACTCAGGGTCACAGTGGGTGCAGTTTCCCCATTTACTGATCTATGGGCAGCAGTTGAGCGTTCTGTTGCTCGATGGCCCCACCTGTGTGTCCAGAATTAGCTGAAGACAGAGATACAGTTGCTTTATTCATATGGTGGGATCCTATAGCGTAATGAGAAGTAATAATTCACAATTATAAGCTAAATAGGGATGGATCACAAACACATAGTACTGAATGCAAGAAGCCAGACACACAGAAAAACATGGTCCCATCTATGTAAGGTACAAAGACAGACACATGTGACCTGCGCTGTCTGACAGCAGGATAACAGTTTGGGGAGACAGATTCAGCAGGGCTAGGGGGGCGTGAGAGGAGTTTTTGGGGGCCTGCCATGCAGCATCATTCTGTTTCTTGATCTGGATGCAGATCCAACAAAGTGCATATGACCATGGGCCCTTTTTTCTGTATTTTTTCTTCAATAAAATGTTCTTTAAAAAAAAAATGAAACACATGTTTCTCTGCTTCTCCAACAGCTACACTAAACTTAAACTGCAAGTCACTCCAGAAGGACGCATTCCTCTGAAAAAGTAAGCTTCATGAGCGTTTCCCATTATTTATCTTCCTCTCAAAGACTTGAATCTGTGCCGCAGTCTGAGGGGGAAGGGGGAAGTTGTGGCAACCACACCCGCCACCATGCCTGTCTCTGGTGGGAACATGCCCCATCCCTGGGGCTCCTTTCCTATGGCATCACTTTCAAGAAACACCAACTCAAGAAAGGGCTGGAGGAAGTAGGAGGAGAACAGCCCAACCCCTCTGAGAGCCAGTCTAGTCCAGGCTAGCAAATGTAGTGATCTCTACACCATCTTTCTTTTTGCTTCATCTTTTATTTATTTATTTGGTACAGGGTCTCACTATGTAGCTCAGACTTACAGTGATCCTCCTATCTCAGCCTCCCCAGCACTGGGATTATAGGCGTTTTCCAGCATGCCAGGCACTGGGGTGGCACAGTGCACTCAGGCTATGGGAGCTGGCATGGCATGTGAAGATGGGCATTGAACCTGAGTCCTTACACTTGCCAGGCAGGCATTTAGACCACTAAGCAATTTCCCCAGCCCCTCAATACCATCATTCAAGATGGTGTTAGCCTTAGAGGAGGGAATGCAAATGCCAGTGCCCACAGGTGGCAGGCAGGGAATTTAAATAACACAGCAGAGTAGGAGGAAGAAGAAAACTATAGAGCAAAACCAGTCTAAGGGAGACACAGTGGGATGGGTGAGGTTCAGATGGGAAATTGTCTAAATCACTAGAATTGATAAATCCAAGTCATTGTGTTAAATTGCCCATATAAGTTCTATTTATTAAAACTAAGTTAGTAGATAAAGAAAGTACATTTTTATACTATACTGTCCAAAAGTATTAAACCTTTGACTTACATGCTATTGATGAGCTCTACTAATAAAAATATTAAATAATTAAGATTACAACCTATGGGTAGCAATAAGGGAACAATGAATGAATATATATATATATATATATGAAAGGGTCTACAGGGTGTTCAGGGTCTCACTACTAGATCAGACTCATAGTGATCTGCCTGTTTACAGGTTCCCAAGAGCTGAGATTATAGGTGCGGCCACCACGCCCAGTCTCAATTGCTGACTCAGTGCATCCCACGTGCTGGCAGGCCCAGGGACTGAACCCCTGGCCCCTGTGCCTGCTTTGCAGGCACTTTAATCCTCTGAGCTATTTGTCTGGTGCTAATAAGGGAAGAATATTAGGCAGGTTATTTGACTTAGTGTTTGATATGAATTTATTTATTTATTATAATAGTTTTTAATTGGGTCAGAATAGTGACCTCAATATTTAAAGTGTATACATATAGATCTTTGAAAACAGAGATTCAGATATATGGAGGAAAGGGCATCATTTCATTCTGTAAAGATGAGCACTGGATAGGTTTTACAATAATTTTTATTAATAAATTTGACTATCAATAATAATAATTTGAATAATATATTTTAAATACTTTTATAATAAATAATTTTGTTACAATTATTTATGCATTTTTATTATATACAATGAAATAATTTGAGTTAGCATCAGCTGTAAGTGTTGCGATCCTTATGCCTTTTAAACATCTCTCATTCTTTACTTCACAGCATCTATCGCTTGTTCTCAGCAGACCGAAAGCGAGTTGAAACTGCGTTAGAGGGTTGTAGTCTTCCATCTTCACGGGTGAGCATGTTGCCTTACAATAATAGCAAGTGAAATAGCTCCTAATAACTCACACTAAGTACACAGTGCCGCGGTGTTCCCTTAAACAGACTTTTATAGAATTAAGGAACCCACAACTCAAGTGTTAATGTTTACAGTGCACACAGCCATTATTATATTCATTTTTTCTTATTATCCCAGGGACCCTTGCTTTTCATAGATTAAACATTCAATAGGGAAGGCTGGGAATATGGCTCAGTGGGTGTAGTGGGTAACTCTGTGTGAGATCTGGAGTTTAATCCTCAACACCACACACACACACACACACACACACACACACACAAATCAGTAATAATCCAACCAACTAACGTAAAAAATTGTCCCCCAAAGTCACCAATAGTAAGAAGACAGTTCTAAATGTGAACAATAAACCTATCTTCAATAATTGTACCAATCATGAACAATAAATTTAACATCTCTACTTATGAGTGAGTGATAATGTGAAGCCATTATGTTTAGGAATATGTTGGAAACACTAACTGTATCTTATTCCTTTAAAATTTTGAGTCCTGCTGGCCCTGCCCCTGGGGCATGCTGAGACAGCAATGGAGATTGGGCATGGTGGTGCACGCCTATAATCCCAGAGTTTGGGAGGCTGAAAACAGGAGGATCACTACAAGTCTGATCTGTATAGTGAGACCCTGTAGACCCTGTACTAAACACACACACACACACACACACACACACACACACACACACACATAAAATAAATACAATTTGAATTTTTTTTTTTTTTTTTTTTTTTGTATTTTAGGGAAGGGTCTACAGCACGGGCAGGGTGTCACTACTAGATCAGATTCATAGTGATCTGCCCGTTTACAGCCTCCCAAGAGCTGGGATCACAGGTGTGCGTCACCACGTCTAGTCTCAAATTCCGTATTAGCGTGACCTGGGGACTGGGCTGGCATGGCAGGCCCGGGGCTCAAACCCCGGCCCCTGTGCCTGCTTGCAGAAAATTTTGAATCTTAAGGCTTGTAAGTTATATAAAAATTGCTATAATAACATATTTATAAATACAGTATACGTTCTTTCAAAGACCACCTACTTTGCTCATTGGTGGTTCAGTGAGAAGACAAATATGCAAGTGTTTTTGAAAATCCTAACTCCTAATAAAGCATTCCACATATTTTAACCACCTAAAAGAAAGCAATCAGCCTTCATTTCAAGTCATTTCTACGTAGCTGGCTCTGAAATGACTATGTTCCCATTGTTTCTCTGATAACAGTCTGTCGTATAAATCCTTTTTCTCACGCTATATGTAGAGCACTGTTTTCTGTCTTAAATTATTTTTAGCCTAGTATCTAAGCAACAAGGAAACACTTGCCTATAGACAACACTGGCTCTATAGGAAAAAAACTCTAATCTTCACAAAACTCTCTAACAGTGTTTCAACTTCATTGAATGAAATGGTGAAGCCACTTGTAAACTTATGCTTGAATTGTGCCAAAGTCCTGAGTCCTGTTTATTAAGTTTGTCAACCATTTCTTTTGTGAATGCTTTACAAAAAAAGGGAAAGTCTATTAAGAACTTTGCTAGTTCTCACAAAAAAAACAAGTGCCTTTTCCCTATCACTTTTCCAAAAAAGAGCTGTTAAAAAACGGCAAAAACACTTTTCCCATCACTTCAATATACAAAAGAAAATGCTTGAACTTATTTGCTGTGAATGCTTTCCTAGACGCTTCAGAGCAGAAAAGGTATGACAGGGAAGGTCCTGTCCCTGCCTCAGATATTTCTTGAGCTCTTAGTGGGAACCCATGGGCACAGAAAATGTGGTGATGAACAAGTTGAAGTCCAGGGTTAAAGAATCATAGAGTTTTCTGGGGGATCTAGTCAAAAAAATATCCACAAATATATCTGTAAATTTGGAAAAGTAATACTAAAAGAAGAAACCTGGCATGCTGCCCTTGAAAAAAAGGGAAGCTCGTCCCAGGAAAAGCACACAATGTGTGCAAAGCCGGAGGCTAGGAAGAGCTGTGCTGTGAGAACAACCGAGGGGGCAGCACCGCAATCCAGTGCAGAGAAAGCTGGAGAGCTGGGTTTGCAAACAAGTCTTTGCTTTGGGATCACTTTTATTTTATTTTTTTTCTTTTCTGGATAATATCTTGTGAAATACAATGATCAAAACTTCTAGCTTAATATGCTACATCTAGCTAAGGGAGAGAAGGAGTAGAAAATAAAATCCATTCGGTCAATTCTCTGCAAATTGCAATTTTTCTAAACAATTGAATTCTGATAATGCAGTCAAACAACACGAGTTGAATCATTCCAATCCAGTACATCTATTATAGGTTCAGACTGCAGACCAATGACCATGGGAGACACTTTAGGAGGAAAATGAGATTCAAATAGCAAGAGTTATGTTTGAGTTGGAAAAAAAGATATTTATTGTTAGCAGATTACATGTAATGACAATTTTCAAAAAACAAATGAAAGACATTTTAAAAATATAAACAAACTCTTTTGTAGTTTTGAAAGCTGATTATTTATGCTACCATATAATTTACATGGAAGACTTGTGGAATTAGAAGACTTTTCTGAAAGGATAAAAACCAAATACAGTTTTAGAACAGGAACTGATGGTTTCTGTGAACTGCCCATGACACATCAAAACTACATTTAAAATCCATGCAGTAATTTCATAGCTACAAATCAGTGAATATAGGCACTAGTCACACATTAGCAAAAACATTCTCAGTGCGTGAAGAAGAAGTACTTTAAACATTCCAGAGAAGAAAGAGGTGGTACACATGGTAGATAGCTCTTCATAAATGGTCGCCTTAGCCACAGCTAACTATCATTCAAACTAGATTTAATTGTTTTCCGTAAATAGATACGTTACCAGAAACCCAGGGGATATCCTGTTGAAGTTTTTGAAACATTATCGTTATGCACATTGTTAGGGATAATTAATGCACTTGAACTTGGATCCTGGCTGACATGATCCACTGGAACAGTGCATTCCTTTCGAGGGTACTCCGTTGGAGATTACAGTTGTTAAGTTCGAGTTACTCTAATTGTTAAAAAGTTACACTATATCGAAAGCAATTACTGTCCTTCTATAAATAATCCAAATGTATTTTAGTGAGACCTTTGAAAACCTTTCCATATTCAGAAAATTACCACTCAGTCCACCAGCTCTCTGAGAACCGAAAACAATTTATTTGTCCCAAATTATCTTGATTTAAGGCTGATTAATTTTAAAATGAGATTGCTGACATTTAAGATTGCATTGTTGCATCTTTCTAACACTGGCCTGTTGGCTGCATTTTAATGAAGGAGATAAGAAATAGTTCATGTATATATCTTTGCTAAGTTTATTGTCACACATGGGGAAAGGAAAACTCATTATTTTGCAATTAAAGACACCTTCAGATTTTACTAAGGAATACTGTTGTGATTTGGATCTAAAATGTTCCCTGAAGGTCTCATGTTCAGAGGTGGAGCTTTGGAAGGTGACTCAATCATAAGTTTTCAACTGAAAATTTCATAGCTGATTCTGCTGTTTGGAAGAGGGGTCTGGCCAGCAGAGGGGGGGTCACAGGGGATTTAACTGATTCAACAGGCAACCAAAACAATGTTGTGTTCATTTGCGTTGTCTCATTAATTTGGCCATGATTAAAGTAGACATCCTGATTCATAGCTAGTACATAAATAAAGGTTATCTTTTAATAAATCATGTTGTCCTATGACATTATTTACTCTTGTGTAAATGACTCATTTAAATCTGAAACTTTAACCGAAAGAGAATGCACAAGTCTGTATTATCAATTCCTATCATTCTCAAAAATTACATTTATTCACTTAACTATTCCATGTGCATCTACTATATATGACACACTGGAGTTAGAGTAGTGAAACAGAAGCACACAAGTCCCAGTTTAGATATATCCACAGGGTAGCAAGGAAGAAGGGAACTTAGAACTGAGCACGTTTACGTGAGTGCTAAAGTATCAGACCAGCCACACGTGCTAATAAGACAAAGCCCAGTTCTTGGTAAGGCAAGGCTTTCCAAAGGAAGAGCTTTTAAGCTGAGTAAAAACAAACAAAAAAAAAAACCAAGGTCTGCTTTGCCAGCCCCACCCCCAGGGCGCACTGAGATGGCAATTGAGACTGGGCATGGTGAAACACACCTGTAATCCCAGCTCTTGGGAGGCTGTAAACAGAAGAATCACTACAAGTACGATCTAGTACTGACATCCTGAACACCCTATAGACCCTTCCCTAAAATATGAAAATAAAAAAGGTTCATAAGAGAAGACAATAAGTGATATTTTTAGATAAAAATGATTTGTATGTGTAGTGGGTGAAGTTAAGGAGAAGGGGTATGAGTTCTATTTAATAGAGAAAATAGGAAAGCACATTTGAAGTTCATAAAACCCAAGAATGTTAGATGCACTTGAGCTGTCCAGCAGCAGCACTGCGTATTATTTTTACAATTTATTATTATCTTTTCTGTGCTGGGGATTGATCCCAGGACCTCAAGCCCGCAAGGCAAACTCTACCGCTGAGCTACACTCCCAGCCCTGCTATAGATTGTAAATCTTTCTTTTCATTGTGGCTTATAGCCAAACACTGGGGTAGACCAAGTCATTTCTGACTATCAACAAAATTACATAGATAAGTCTCAGATTCAGAAAGTAGGTGACCAAAGAGATTTCTTTCTGTTTATGAGTCAGTGGGGTTTTGGAAACTTGTCTACAAGTTGTACTTGTTTTCCTTTTATGAGTAGCAAAACATCATTGAAACCATTTATGAGAATTGCTCGTTGTTCTTTTGTTTGATTCCTAGGCTGATGATTTCAGAATTTGTGCCCAAGTAGTCAAAGTCTAATTGTATAAAACATTGCCCTGTGTAAAATGATCCTTGTGACGTTTGGTTTTCTCAAAATTCTATTTTGCAATATAGATGTTTCTCTTTCACCATAAATAGACTCAGTAAAGGAAACATTACTTTCTTCATTCATTTCAGAAATATGGGTCTCCTGTTATCTGCCAAGCAGCGACTGAGTTTTCTTATCTGTTAGCAAGCAGCATACGATTGCTCATAGCAACTCAGACAATGATTTTCAAAGATTCCTATAAAAGCACTCTTCCAAATATAGGGATATGGTAAAAGGAGGGGACAGTTTCTTTTGTGTAAGAGCCTGAAAATAAAAATAATCATATAAACATATACCTGAAATAGGAAAAATGCATGAAAAAATGTTCTTCCTGTCAACAAAGGCTGGAATACACACTTCCGGTTTCCATGACAGCCTAAACCAAATAGAGCACATAAGCCCTAGAAGTGGCCTTTTATACTGATGACTTGTTTCCCAAATAGTAGGACCATGAGCAATCTAAAAATAATGGTGGTGCTGTGCTACTTATGAAAATACTATTTGTCAGATCATTGAAACCAAAAGGAATTTTGTTTGAAAAAAAAAAAAGACATAAAATTGGAAATTACACTTTCGTTTAATCATGTCTGGGTCTAGGGTCATCACTTTTAAAAAACTTTATTCAAAAACCTGCTAAATAGCCCAGGAATGGGTAGATGTTTTATGCTACTTACTTCCTTATACA